ATGGCAGCAAGTTCATCAATGGTGCAGCGTCAACCCGCTGTACGCGGTGCAAGCTCCACAAGGGCGTCTCCTTCGGCGGGGGGGGGGCCGCTGGCCTGTCCGTCAACTAAGGTGCCGCCCAAGGGTCTGCCATGGACAACGCGGGCGAAGCAGCTCCAGCTGCAGGCGGACGAGATCGCCAAGCTCAAGAAGCAGCTGCAGCAGGCGACCAGCCGCCCCCCCGCGGACACCGACCAGGCGGCCATGGATTTGGACGAGGAGCCTCCGAAAGTGGATCGCAAGCGCCTGGAGTTCCTGTAGCGCGAGATTCCGCGCTTGGAGGCCAGCGGCCAGGATGAGCCCTCGTACATCGAGATGGCCACGAAGTTCAAGTCTGAGCTCGCAGAGCTCAAGAGGCGTACGGTGGAGGCCAAGCCCCTCAACAAGAGGATCGAGGATGCCAATCGCGAGGTGCGGAGGCTCCAGACCGTGCAGTCCAAGCATGCCAAGAAGGTTGAGGAGCTCAAGCGAGCAGCCGAGAAGGCGCAGGAGGCCCTGGGCGAGGCGCAGGCGCGAGCAGCCAAGTTGGACGGCGAGCTCACCAGCGCCCAGCAGAGCCTCTCGGAGCTCACGGTGCGCATCCCTGGGGTCAATGCGGCTCCTCCTGTTGGGCCTGCTCCTGGGCCTGATGAGTTCGTGCCTGGTCTTACTGCGGTCATGGCGAGCCTCGGCACGTACCTCTCGGCCAAGGGCCTTCCTGGGGAACTCAGCGACGAGATCATCCAGAACTTCCGGGTCGCGGAGGTCAAGGCCAATGAGGCTGTTCAGAAGGCAGCGGAGGAGGCGGAGTTCCGCGCGCAGCAGTTGCGTGAGCAGGCTGCTCCTGAGGTGGGGGCGACGCCTCCAGGAGGTACGCAGCCGGAGCAACAGCCTGGAGTGCCAGCTCGGGCGGACCTCTCTGCGGAGCAGCTGCGACAGTTCCTCGAGTCCAACTCCCAGTCTGTCCCTGCCGAGGCGGACGAGGAGCAGCTCCGCTCGCTAGCCAAGCGCACCTACGATGCCATCCAGAACTTCGCGGCCTCTGTCTCCAAGAAGGCCAGGACCGACGTTCGTGCATAAGCATGGTGGTGTTATTCTTTTTATTGGCTTGTTTATGTTTGCTCCCATGGCGAATATCTACACTATCACGACATACAATGGTGGAGGCCTCAAGGGCCTGAAGGAGTTCTTGGATGGTGAGCCGCAGTGCCAGTGCTTGCTGGTACAGGAGCACCGCGCGGCCGAGGGCCGACTAGGGCACGCTCAACACCAAGCGGCCCAGCGTGGATTCCATGGAGTTTGGGCGGCTGCGCTGCCAGGCCAAGGCACCCTGGACTCCAGCGGGGTGGCGGTACTGGTTCCCAGCAACGTGATGGTCTCTGCGCCGCCTCTGGCGGCAGAGCCCACGTTGGTGCCCGGGCGAGCCGTGGCTGGCCATGTGCACGCGGGGCTCGCCAAGGGCTACGTGGCGGTCTCACTGTACCTCTGGTGCGCGGAGGGCCTCTCGGACGAGAATCGCGCCATCTTGCACGAGGTGATGGGGTACCTGGTGCGCCTCAACGCCATCGGGATGCCGTGGGTGCTCGGGGGCGACTGGAACCTGGAGCCGTCGGTCTTGACGGAGCTGCATGAGTTTCGGGCTGCGCAGGGGCTGGTCTACGCCACGACGCAGCCGACCTGTACAGCGGCATGGCCTGGTGTTGTATATGATTATTTCCTCGTTAGCGTGACGATGGGTTTGCGAGCAGAGCAAGCTTCGAGGGCGGACCCGAACGTGCAGCAACCCATGACCAGGGCCGAGGTCGATAACGCAGTCAGCACGGGCCCGCACGTGCCCGTCAGCCTCGGCTTCCACGGGAAGCCTAGGACATTGTGGGTCAGGCAAATCTCCGAACCACGGAAACTGCGGGAGCCGCCGCCGTCAGGCTGTGCGCGGTTTCCGCTTGACTGGGGACGGGCGCAGGCGGTGATCCAGGCCGCGACGGACAAGACGGGCTTGGGCCAGGCGTGGGACCTCGTGCTGGAGGGCCTCCACATCGAGCTGCTGGGCAGGCTGGACCGCCTGGACGAGACCAAGGGCACGCCCATCAGCGGACCGATCGGAATGCGCTGGGGGCACTTCCAGCCGCAGGGCACCAACAAGAAGATCGGCGACAGGCGCGATGGGGCTTCGCACGCTTGGGCGGTGGCTGCGAGGTGGGCCAGGCATATTGGCAACATGAGCTACTACCACGACCACCTCTGCGAGGTGCTGAAGGACCCCGCGAAAAGGCATGGACGTCAGCGGCAGCAGCAGGAGGGAAGCGTAACGGATTTCCCCCCCGACAGGCCATCTGCGACGATTTGAGCTGGCGGCGCCAAGCCAGCCCCTGCTGCGCCGGCCCCCCCTCCAGCTCGGGGGGGCACAGGCAGCCCGTCTGAGGAGCAGCTGTGCGCCAAGATGGGCAAGTCGCTGTACGATCTAATCGGCTTCTTCAGCAGGATCCAGAAGAACTCGGCCGTGCTCCAACTGCTGGACCAGCGCGCGCGGGAGCTGTTCCATGCTGGCCTGTTGCGGATGGCCGAGCCCGATCTCAATGAAGAGGTGGAGTACGTCACCCGTAGGGCCGAGGAGCTGCGGGCCAAGGCCGCAGCTGCTCAGGAGCGCTCCTGGCGGCACTGGGTCGAGCAGGCATTGACAGGTGGCGCTGGGCTTGCACACCGGCTTCTTAGACCTCGAGAGCTCCAGGAAGTTCTTCAGAGTTCGGAGGGTGGTCAGCCCTACAAGTACGCGGACGACTGCATGCAGCAGTGGGGGCAGATATGGAGCACGCACAACGGCCGCCAGCTCGACCCGCCCTCGGACGTTCAGTGGGACCCCCTCCCAGCGCTGACAGCAGCGGACATCCGACATGCCGTCGGCGCCTTCCCGTGGAGAACGGGAGTGGGCCAGGTTCCGGTAGCGCCGAGGCTCCTCGAGCAGGCGTCGGACGAGGCGCTGCATGCGGTGGCCCTCCTCTTCATGCGTTGCGAAGCCTTGGCGGTCTGGCCGCAGGGCCGCCTCCTGACCACCTTGGTACGGCTCCCCAAGAGCGACGGGGGGCACCGCCTGATCGCCTCATGAATACGCTGGTGCGCGTCTGGGGGAAGGCGCGGCGTTTCGGAGGCGTGGGAGCAAAGTCACCCCTCCGAATTCTTCTGGGGCTCAGGGGCCGGGAGGTCTTCCTCGGCGTCAGCCTTCGAGACCAATATGGAGGCGGAGATCGCGGACTTGGGGGAGCACGCAGTCACGGTGCTTTTCGACCTCCTCAAGCTCTATGAGCTGGTGCGGCACGATGTCCTGTGTGATTGCTGCCAGGCCCTTGGCTACCCCATGCGCACGGCGTGGATGCTGGTGGGGTCGTACCAGCAGCCGCGGACGATCCGCGCCTACGGCTCGCTCTCCGCCATGGTCACGGCCTCCCAGGGCATGCTAGCCGGGTGTTCCCACGCCACGACGCTGGCCAGGGTTTTGCTTACGAAAGGGCTGAATGTGTCGATAGCAAGGAGCCCTTTGGTGCGGCCACGCGCGCTGATTGACGACGTCTCCTTCCAGTGGGTGGGGACTGACCTGAGCACCCTCGGCCAGCTCTGGACCACGGTGCGCACCTTCTGCTTGGAGCTGCAGCCGCTCGGCTGCCTGGTCCAGCCCGCGAAGTGCGGGTTCGTCGCCACGACGAGGGAGGCGAAGCGGAAGTTCGCGGAGCACGTAAAGGTCATCCGCTTCCGCGGGAAAGCCCACATGCGGAACCTTGGCCACGAGCTCCACGGCAGGGCGGTCAAAAAGCTGGTCCATAGGCGTCGCATGGTGAACATCGGCGGCAAGTGGAGCAAGATTGACCAGCTCCGCAAGGCCGTGGGGTCCAGGAAGGCAGGCGTCCTCTGGGAGACTGGGGACCTGCCAGCGGCCGCACATGGCACGAGCGTGGCCGGGTGCGAAGACCAGTCGCTCCGGCAGCTCCGTGCGACGGCGGGCCGCTTCGCGGGCTACAAGGGCCACGGGTCCTTGACGACCTACCTGATGACGATGCCAGCCAGGACCTTCGACCCGATCCTCGAGGTCACGATGGCGGTGGTCGGGAATTTCGCAGATTGGGTCTGGCAAGCGAGGGGCTCTCCCGCGAGGCTCTGCAAGGCCTTCCTCGCCATGCAGTCCAAGTTCGAGGATGCCAAGAAGCTCACGTGGGCCCATTGCCGCGGGCCCCTGGCGGCAGTATGGCTTAGCTTGCGCCGGATAGACTGGCAGCTGCGTGGCCCGATGCACTTCCGGGGCGACCGCGGCCAGGTCGTGCACTTGCTGCGCCAGGCGCCTTCGGATGTCCTGACGCTCCTGGAGCAGGGCATCGTGAGATGGCAGGAGCGCCGCATGCTGGCGCACTACCCCGCGCACTACCAGGGCTTCCAGGTCTGGGGGAGGGCGCTGGCCCTGGGCCACCAGGACGTGGGCCGCTGCCCAAGGCGGAGCGGGGCCCTGCGGGCACTCCAGGCCAACGCGCTCCGGCCTCCTCAGCGCTCTTTCCTTGCGGGGAGGTGCGAGACACCGGGCTGAGTACTAGGCGGCGCGCCCGAGGGCTCCAACGGCCACTTGTACTTCGAGTGCGAGGCGTTTCAGCGGCAGCAGGACGATGAGGAGGAGGAACCTTCCCCCGAGGAGCTGCTGGTCACCCGAGAGAGGCTGCGGGGGCAGGCAGTGGACACGGGCGATGGGCCCAGCTACGAGCACCTTGAGTTCGCCCTGCCGCTCGCCCCTCCGCTGCCCGACCAGGTCCCCGAGGAGCTCCCGGAGTTCGAGCGGGGGCTGGAGGGGCAAGCTTGGGGGCAGCAGCTCTTTGTCGACGGGTCTGGCCGCCGCTCGTCGTTCGTGGAGGCGCGCAGGCTCGGATGGTCAGTCGTTCAGATTTCGGGCGAGCTGCTGCCGATTAAGGCGCGCTGGGGCGGCCTCCCGGGGCTCGCGCAGACGGTGCCGAGGTCGGAGCGGCACGCCGGCATGCGAGCCATTCAGCTTGGGCGGCCGCCAGTGCACGTGCTGTCAGACCAGATGTCGTTCGTGCAGGAGGTCCGCGAGTGGCAGGGTAGGCACACCAGGCCGCGAGCTCCGCACGCGATGGTTTGGCGGCAAATCGCGGCGACGGTGGAGGGGCGCGGCGCGCCCATGCCGACTGCACAGTGGGTGCGTGCCCACCGCGAGCTGGAGGACGCCGTGCTGGCCGACGGAACGGCTTTCCGCTACGTCGGCAATTTCTGGGCCGACGTCTTCGCCAAGATGGGCTCGGCCAGCATCATGGTGTCGGAGGTGCACGTGCGGGCGTGCGAGATCCAGCTGCGGGACGTTCGGGAGGCCATGCGCTACGTGGCCTGGGCGGCTGAGCGCGCAGTGCGGCTTTCAGTTGGCGGGTCAGCTGCGGTCCCGCAGCAGGTAGCCAAGGTGGCCCAGGTGGGCATGAAGGTACCAGAGTTGGTGGCCCACGACCTCAAGCAGCTCACCAACGGAGCGCTGAAGTGCACGGTGTGCTACCGCTTCTCGACCACCAAGGCCTCGCTCCAAACTTTATGCTGTTCGCCGTGCGAGCCGCCGACGGTGGGCGCACTTCGACTGCGAGACGCACTCCAACCAGAGGCTCTCTCGGACCAGGTCGACGACGCCGCGCGCGCCGCCCTCTGGGGCCGCTCCTCGGCCGCGACGCGCGCCCACCTCGCCCTGGTGGCCGCGCCCGGCGCCGGCGCGCACCTGCAGGCGCCCCCCAGCGAGGCGCTCGGCACAGCGGTCCCGCACAGCTTGATGCAGATCGGGATCAAGCGACGGCTCCGGGCCCAGCTGATGGACGAGGAAGCGTTCTGCCCAGCGTGCGGGGAAGTCATGGACGTGTACTGCGACCACGCCTTGACGTGCGCCTGCCAGGGCGACCGCACGCGCCGCCACAACAAGCTGCGGAACGGCACCTTCTTTGCCGCCCAGGCCGCTGGCTTCTCGGGGGCGGAGCTGGAGCGGCCCGGACTGCTGCCGCCGCGGGCGCCGGGCGAGGGGCCGAACGCCGAGGAGCCCGACGGCGGCGGACTAGACAACGACGGCCGCCGGCCAGCGGATGTCTATGTCCCCCGGTGGCGCGGCGGGCTCTCGGCGGCCTTGGACTTCGCTGTGACGTCCGGCCTGCGCGCGGACCTCATCGCGCGCTCCGCCGCTGACCCGGCCGCCGCCCTCGACAGGTACGAGGAGTGCAAGCGGCAGCACCAGGGCACGGCGCAGGCTTGCCGCGACGCGGACCTCGCCTTCATCCCAATGGTGGTGGAGGCGCACGGCGGGAGCTGGGGCGGCGAGGCGCGGCGCGCCTTCGCCGTGCTGGCTAAGCGCGCGGCCGACGCGCGCGGCGAGGAGGCCGCCAGCACGGCGGACAGGATGGCCCAGCGACTCTCCATCTCCCTACACAGGGAGAACGCGCGGGCCATCCTGCAGCGCCTGCAGCGCCCGCGGCCCGGGGCGACCCCGGCACGCCTGGCGGCGGCGGCTGCAGTGGAGGCGGCGGCGGCGGCGGCCGTCGCGTGAGGCGCAAGGGCAGGCGGCGGGCGCCGAGGGCGACGAGGCGAGGGAGGGCGACCAGGAGGAGGAGGGGTAAGAGGGGGAGGAGGAGCAGCAGGAGAACAACGACGACGCCATGCGGAGGCAGCAGAGAGGCGCTGAGGAAGCCCCGCGGAGGGCGGCGACCAGGAGGAGGAGGAGGAGGAGGAGGAGGAGGAGGAGGAGGAGGAGGAGGAGGAGGAGGAGGAGGGAGCAGCGGCTGGAGAGCGACGACGAGACCACGAGGAGGCAGCAGGGAGGCTGCGGGAGCCCAAAGGAGGCTGTCAGGACGACGGCCAGGAGGCAACGCACGACGAGCGTCGAGGAGGAGGAGGAGGGGGAGGAGGACGAGGACGAGGACGGGCCGGCGGCTGGCGGCAGCAGGCCAGGAGGAGACCGCAGAGGCCCCCTGCCCGTCCAGCCAGGAAGGAGGAACCCGCCGAGGAGGAGGAGGAGGCGCCGCGCCAGAAGCCGCCGCAGAGGGAGAAGGCCCCGGAGCCGGCCGCTGAGGAGGAGGAGGAGGAGGAGGAGGAGGAGGAGGAGGAGGAGGAGGAGGAGGAGGAGGAAATGGAGCCTGTCAAGAAGTTCGTGGAGGACCCCGAGGCGTGCGCTGCGGCGAACCCGGTGGCCGCAGCGCCGGCGGCGGGCGGCGGCGGGCGACGGCGAGAAGAAGGAGGAGAGGAAGGCCGCGGCCGTGGAGGAGGAGGAGGACGAGGACGTGGTCTTCGACCTTTTCGGCTGAGCGCACCGCGGCGGCGGCGAGCGCGCGGGCTCCGTCGGCGGGGTCGGGCACTGCACGCTGGGCGTGCCCCCTCTGCCGGAGGAGGGCGTCCGCCACGTCACGGAGACGGCGGGGTTCGCGATCTTGTGCGCGGTCTGCGGCGCTTGGTCCAGCGAGTCGAATCGGCTCTCACCCAAGTTTAGGGATCCGTGCCGAGGGCCGTCCAAGGTGCCTAAGACGGGGTGGAAGGAGAAGGACGCAGTGAAGCAACTGCGGCGCGGGCTGCATCCCAGCACGCGGGTCGCGCTGGAGACTGGGAGGCCCTGGCGTGGTGCCACCAACGTGATGATCGCGGGCTCCCTGCTGCTGGACAGCATGCGGGGCCACCAGGCCAGAACGGCTTCGGCCTCCACGTCGGCTGCATAGTTTTCGTTGCGATGCCAGGTGGCGTTGGCAATAGAGCCCAACGTGCTCCGGAAGCGCTCCGCCGGAGCACGTTCGGGCACGTGCTGGCTCGGGGTTCGCCCTGAGCGCGCTGCCGGAGGGCATCGTCGTCGCCGCGGGCTTTTTCATGGTGCTCTACGGCGTGTTCGTGGGTCAGGCCTTTGGTCTGACCCGCCCAGGAGTGCTGGTAGAGCTGTGGCTCCCAGTTCCAGCAGGGTCCAAGGGTGTGAGGGATCCGTGGCTGGACAGGTCCCTGGTCGTCTGAGGGACCAGCCCCGTCGTGCTCGGCGGCCACGGCGAGTGGGCGCACAGGCACTCTGGCGCCCTCTTCTGCTGTGTCTCTCCCTCCTTCCTCCTCCTCCTCCTCCTCCTCCTCCTCCTCCTCCTCCTCCTCCTCCTCCTCCTCCTCCTCCTCCTCCTCCTCCTCCTCCCCAACCTCCTCCTCCTCCTCCTCCTGCTCCTCCTCCTCCTCCTCCTCCTCCTCCTCTCCTCCTCCTCTCCTCTCCTTCCTCCTCCTCGCCCTCCTCCTCCTCCTCTCTCCTCCTCCTCCTCATCCTCATCCTCATCCTCAATCCTCATCCTCACTCCTCTTCCCCTCATCCTCCTCCTCTCCTACTTCCCATTCCCCCCTCCTTTTCTCCCCTCCTCCTCCTCCTCCTCTCTTCCTCCTCTCCTCTCTTCCTCCTCCCTCCTCCTCCCTCCTCCTCCTCCTCCTCCTCCCTCCTCCTCCTCCTCCTCCTCCTCCTCCTCCCCCTCCCCCTTCTCCTCCTCCCTCTCCTCCTCCGCCACCTCTGTCGGCAGGAGACTTCGGCCTCGCCGCCCGCGTGCTGCCCGAGCAGATGCTGCTGGAGCAGGCCCTCGCGGCGCGCGCCCTCGCCCAGAGTCGGAGGCTGAGTATGTTCCTGTGCCAGGCCCCCTGCCTTTCTATAGAGCTTCGCGCAGGAAGCTGACAACCTTATTTTTCGGTGGTCGGTGCCACTTCGGAGGTGTCGGCGCGTCGCCCATGTCGGCCAGTTGATCCCAAACAGCCGCTGCGGATGGAAAAAGAAATGGCACGCCTCCCGACCGCCCTACGCCCCGATCCTCTCGCCCTCCGGGTGTCCGATCCAGGGGCCCCCTTGCTGAGCGCAGCCGTGCAGCTCTCGCGCGCCGAAGACCGCCCGAAGCCGCCACAGCCCAGCGGACACCGCCGACAAAAACCGTCCGGGGAGCCGCGGTCAGCGGGGCGGGCGGCCTCCCGAGGTGGCGGGGGGTCTCCCTCTCGGGGAGGAGGCCCCTAAGCCTTCTCGGCAGGCCGAGGCCCTCGCGCCAGCCCCTCGCGCGCGGCCCTCTGCAAGAGGAGGGGGGAGGAGGGGGAGGAGGGGGAGGAGGAGGAGGGGGAGGAGGAGGAAGAGGAGGAGCAGTGCAGCCCCAAGAGGCATCAACGATGTTGGAATACTCCCTCCCTCCAAGCTCCCTCATACGGCCCCTGCAACGTGTCATGTGTACTGAGGGCAGTTCCCAACTGTTTGAAGACCCTGAAGCATGTCAAAAGATTGTTCTCGGGATCCCAACGTCACGGATCAACCTGGCTGCTGCGTCTTAACGATCCTGAAGCGTGCTAGAACGCCATTCTTGGGACTTGAGCACCACGAATCAGCAGAGCTTGTGCACCCTCATAAACCAGAATCCTTCCAACACGCCGTTCCTTGTGCGTTGACCATGGGAATCCGTGAAACTCCTGCAATGTGTTAAGTTGAATGCGCGCGGCGCTAAGGCGAGAGCCACATTTTGAGAAGGAACCGCGCTCAATCCGTGAAGCCCTTGCAACGTTTAAGACGAGTGTGCGCGCGTTACGGCGAGAGCCACATTTTGAAAACGATTCGCTCTCCATCCATGAAGCTCTTGCTCGTTTAAAAAAAAGAATGTGCGCGGCGCTGAGGCGAAAACCACAGTTTGAAAACCACTCGCCTTCAATCCGTAAAACTGTTCCAAGGTTCGAAACGAATGCACGCGGCGCCAAGGCGAGAGCCACATTTTGGAAACTATCCGCCCTCAGTCCGTGAAATCTTTGCAAATGTTTAAGACGAGTGTGCGCGGCGCTGAGGCGAGAGCCACATTTTGAAATCGACCCGCCCCCCATCTGTGAAACTGTTGCCAATTTGAAAGTTTCAGAGTCACACGTTGTGAAGAAGTATCAGGCGGAACGCCCGGCCCGCCCTAAAAATTGCCTCGGGTTGCGGCATGGAGAAGTTATATATATATATATTATATATATATATATTAATATATAATATATATATATATATATATATGTCGGCGGTGCGCCGTGGCACGAAACCCCCCCCCAGCACTACCGGGGGGTTTCGTGCACTACCGGGGGGTTTCGTGCAGCCCGCACCGGGTGCCGCCAGCGGCTTAGAACACCCCCCCCTTGCCGCTTTACCGGGGGGGTTCGTGCAGGCCGCACTGCGTCTACCTGGGCTCCCCCCCCCCCCTGTGGGAGTGGGGGGGTGGGAGTGGGGGGTGGGTTGGGGGGGGGGCAGGGGGGCGGTTGGGAAGGGTGGCTCCCTGTCGAAGTGTGGCGTGTGCTCGCCTTGTGTTCTCTATTCGCGTCTGCTCGCCTTTGTTCCGCCGCAGCCTCTCGTATTGTGGCTCGTGGTCACAATACGAGAGGCTGCGGCGCAAATCCCGAGAGCCGCTGTGGGGGGTCGACGGCACGGCCGCGTAGAGAAGAACAGTGCCGCCGTGTTCCGGCACGGCCCTGGGATGCAATGCCGCCGCCGTGTTCCGGCCCGTCCTGGTAAGATTCGCGCGTCGGGGCTGGGTTTCGCGCGTGCTGGGAGCGCGCCGCTTACGGAGGGGTTGCGTCCTTACCGGGGGGGTTCGTGCAGCCTACCAGAGGAGGTCGTGTTTACCGGGGGGGTTCGTGCAGGCTCGCACCGGGAATGGCGCCAGCTCGAAACCCCCCAGGAGAGATTACCGGGGGGGGGGGTTCGCTCCGCACCGGGCACCGCCGACATATATATATATATATATATATATATAATATATAGGGGGGGAAGGAATGGAGGAGAAGGCGAAGGAGGAGGAGGAGGAGGAGGAGCAGCAGGAGGAGGAGGAGGAAGAGGAGGGGTCTGTCGTCGAAGGCGTAACCGTCCGCTCGGCGCCTGCATGCCTCCCGGGGTCTCCAGCCGCCAGGTGGGGTCGCCCTCCACCTCGGCGCCCGAGATCGCGCGGGGGCGGCCATACGCCGCGCTGGCCGACGTCTGGTCCATGGGCGCCGCCCTTTCTGCAGGGGGGAGGAGGGGCAGGAGGAGGATCGACGAGAAGGAGGAGGAGAAGGACGAGGAGGATCGAGGAGGATCGAGGAGGAGGAGGAGGAGTCGGAGGTGGCGGAGGTGGCGGAGGTGGCGGAGGAGGCGGAGGAGGAGGAGCAGGAGGAGAAGGCGGAGGAGGCGGAGGTGGCGGAGGAGGCGGAGGTCCCTCGGTTCGCCGTCTTTTCGGTCCCCCTCGTGTCATACTCTCCCCTCGTTTTCCACTCCGTAGCCATTTTGGCTCAAGGTCGCAGCGTGCGCGAGCCTCCCGTCTACCAGACCACTCCTCGTGCTGGGTTTGCGAGGTCTGGACTTGGCGGCACGCGCGAAATATAGCCGGAGGCACTGACGTCGCCCAGCAGCCATGGAGTCCACCTCCGAGAACTTTCTGGAGGAGGGCTCCCGCCGCACAGTGGTTGCCATGTCGTGTGTCGTCTGGTTCGTGATCGGCGGCTTTGTGCTCGTGGTCCGCGTGGTGAGCCTGGTGAGGCACAAGTCAGCTTCATGTTCGGTGCGTCACTGCCTTGTCCATTTGATCCGATTCTGCAGGCGCTCCGTCTCCATGCTCTTCCGCACGGTCAGCGGCCCCGCCGCGAAGGAGCTGGAGAAGAGGCGCCTGATCCGCGCCCACAGCTGGCTCATCTATGGTGTCGTCGCCACCTCGATCGTTGTCGTAGCCCTTCTCGTGCATTCCATCAGGCCATCCCCTCGCTTCAATTCGTCGGTGCAGGACGTCTCCACGTTGGCGGGCTGCTTCATTGTTCTCTTCCTTGGGGCATGCCCTAGCGTGGTGACGCTGAGCACCCTGAACGTCTGGTCCTCCACCGTTGCAGTGTGCATCACTATGTATGGATCGCCATTCGCCATCGAATCAAACTATGCGGCTTCGTCCGCCCCGATGTGTTTTGCAGCTATCATGGTGCTGTGCCTGTTTAACGTGAACGTGCGACTGAATGCATGCTGGCTGTTGGTCTTGACCGCGACGCTTTGCAGCTCGATCCTGTGCGGCACTGTCGACCCGCTCACGGCCTGCGACTTTGAAGCCCGCCGCGCGCGCTACTCGGCGCACATCTGTCAGGCGGGCCTGATGCTGACCGCCTGCGTCATCTGCTTGCACCGGTACCTCTGTCTGGCCGCGCAGTACGAGATGGAGGCCCGCATGTCGAGGAATGAAGTTTCGGCTCAGGAGGCGGTCGCTGGCTGCGATCGGTTTTGGGTTGCTCTTCGAGCGAACCATCCAGCCACATCTCTGCCCTATCCTGCGCCTAGACCAGCACTAGGTTTCCCCATCGCTCGCCAAGACGCCGCCGGAGGCAGCTTGGCACCATCGGGCACGACTTCAGCGTGCCGAAGCACGAGACTTGCTACACCTCCGGGCTGGGCGAGTCACTCCACGTTTGGCCAGAAGGCTCAGCCTAGCCGAACACCGGTTATCCAGCCACCACGGCTCGATGGCCCCAGGGCAGCATGACGCCGACGCATGGAAATGCAAGTTGGGCTGCATGGACCGCCGCGACCCGACCAAGCCCTTCATCAACAAGGGCTTCCGGAAGGTCTGCCTTGGTTGCAAGATCGGCAAGGACAGGGCCTTTGGCGGTAAGGTCGAGGCCTCCACTCCCTCCACGCGCACCCTCCCGGACAAGAAGAACACGGAGCAGCTCAAGGAAAAGGATGTTCTCATCGCGAAGCTGCAGAAGCAAATCAGGGACGGGAAGGGGCAAGGGGGAGCAGTGGGAGGAGACGCAGATGACGGGGAGAAGAATGCGACTAAGGAGGAGCTGGCAAAGATCCGAGATACCATCAAGCGCTTGGAGCCTGAGGCTGAGGATCCAGAGGTTGCTGCGATCTTGGTCAAAAAGCGGGCGCGGGAGAAGGAGCTTCAGTCGTTGCTCCTGGCCGAGAAGCCCACCGCCACCCAGATCAGGACGCTCGAAGCCCAGATGGCCAAGCTCCAGGACCAGGTGGATTCCGACAAGCAGTGGATCGAGGAAACCCTGCAGGAGGTGGAGTCCAAAAGGAGGGAGGTCAGCAAGAATGAGGAGAAGTACAGGGAGCTCCAGCAGCAGCGGGATTATGTTGCCAAAAGCATCCAGAATTCCCCATCACCTCCCCCAGTCTCCGCCGACCCGAAGGACGCGTTCACCGCCTTCGAGGCGCTGGTGGGCTGCTTCACGGCCATGGCGGGCGTGCCGAACTGCCCGGAGGAGATCAAGACCGCAGGAGCGACCCTCAACGGGATTCTGCGGCCTGCCTTGGAGAAGGCCGCCCAAGCCGCAGCAACCGCGGCAGCAGCGACGGCCGCAGCAGCAGCAGCGGGGGGTGGTGCTGGCGCTCCTCATGGCCCTGCTCCTGCTGATGCTCGGGCTGGCGGGGCCGCCGGCCCAGGTGGTGCCCCACCCGCTTCCTCCCACGCAGCCTCCATGGCCCCAGATTGGGACATGCTGGAGTCTGAGGACAGGGCAGCGTACCTGGAGCTCATTGACATGCCCGCGGAGGTGGAGGATACTGCCGGCGACGAGCAGGCCCAAGCGTCTAAGCGGCAGAAGCTGGAGGAGGAGAGGACTAGGAAGGCCAAGCGGTCGTTCGAGCGGACGGGGCACGTGTTTCGAAGCATTGGTAAGCAGAAGCCGAAGCAGCGTGGGTAACGCGACAGGGATCCAACCTGCTCGAGTGGAGCTTACCTGTACGAGGTCATCCCCCACAAGTTCATTATCTGCGCTCACGTTCCTGGGAGCGAATTTCAACGCTTGGACGTCAGCGTGTGTCGTACTTGACTGGGTCCGCGGTCAAGCTGCCGAAGGTGCTCTTCGAGAGTATGGCCTCTCGGATCGCTGCCCCAGCCCTGACGTCATCGGCCTGCAGGAGACGCGGCTGTCCACAGAGAGGGGGGCAGTGTCGGCCCAGACCTGGATGGCTGCCAGAGGCTACTCCTCTTCGATCGGGCTGGCAGCGAAGACCGGGGAGGGGACCTTGGAACATTCGGGGGGTGTATGGCTTGCCGCTGGAGTTCAGCTACCCTCCCTACCAGTCCCCAAGGTCGACCTGGCTGGATACGATCACCGGATTGCCGTCCGACGCGTCCGAGCCGGCTTTCCGGACGGGCTCCTGCTAGTAACCGTGTGCGGGGTCTCCGGAGTGGGGCCGACGAAGCCCAACATAGATGTGTTGGAGAAGCTCGGTGAGATCGCACTCGGCTGCGACTCCCCCTGGGTGATTCGAGGGGATTTCAACTTGACCCCCCAGGAGCTAGAGGACACAGGCTGGGTCAAGGAGGTGCACGGCGTGATCGCGGCGCCGGATGTCGACGCCACTTGTGCCCCAGGCCGCATGGGCGCGGCCAGGACCCAGGCAGGCCCAGATGGGGCCCTCGCTCCGGAGGGCGATCTACACACCGAAGCCCCGGCAGGGAGGGTCATCGACTTCTTCGCGGTGGCTGCGACCCTGGCGCCCTGCGTAGCGAAAGTCGGCACGCTTGCGGACGCGCCGCTCTCGCCACGCGCCCCAGTGCTGATGCACCTGAAGGGCGTCAAGGGCACCTCCTGGGTGCACAAGCCGGTCATGTTTCGCCGATTCATGGTTGACCCGCCTTATGGCCCACACCGGGAGCATGTGCCACCGGCCTGGTCGCGGGACATGCCGGGGAACTTCGGCGGCACTGGGCAACGCGACGTACCCTTGGCGAACAAGCTCAGGGAGTGGTTCGACAAGTCCGAGGTCTTCTTGGCGGACCTGCACGCGGTGGAGGAGCGCGACCGGGCGTCGTACAGTGGACGTTCCAAGGGGCCACGCACAGTCCGAGTGCCCTTGGCGACGGCGCGGGAGCGTGCACAGCGGACACGCCTGACACCTCGAACGACAGCGTGGTGGTCCTTCAAGTGTCTGTGCCAGCGCTTGGACGCCCTGGCGGGAACCAGTCTTGGACAGGCCGGGCGAGCGCGTCATACCCTTTGGGTGCAGAAGCTGCGAGACATCATTGGGGCCATGGAGGCCCCCGCCTCTGCGGACGCAGAGGCGTGCAGCCAGTGCGACCTCCAGCTCCTGGCGCTCTCTGCTGGTGGAGGTCGCCTCAGAGACGTGCCACTTCTGTGGGAGACATTAGACCAGGACCTTCAGCGACGTCGCCTTGAGGATGCACGGGTCCGCCTGGGGGAGTGGCGCACCCGGGCATGCGCATCGGTGAAGAATGGGGGCAAGCAGGCTCACAGGTTTGCCGAGAAGCAGTTGCAGAAGCAGGAGGTTGGTGGAAGTCAGCGGGATTCGACCACTGGCAAGCCGCTGCCCGTCGGGGGCCAGGAGGCTGCTGATCAGCTCCTCGCGGACTGGTCCAAGCTGCGGAGCAACCCCGTGAGGCGCGACGAGGCCCGCCCCATAGATTGGACGGTGGATGACGGCATTGACCTACCAGTCCTGACCCTGGGAGCAATGCTGCGCGCGCGCCGCGCACTCCGAAGCTGCCGGGTTGGGAGGGGACGGGTGCCGCCCCCGTTGGGTGCTGCAGCTGCCGGAGGATTACCAGTTGCGACTGCTGGACATCATCAGGGACTTTGACAACGACCCAGTGGTGATCGACGAGCTCCTCTCCACCCTGGTCTTCCTGCCCAAGCCTGAGGGCGGCGCGCGGCCTATCGGACTGCTCTGCCTCGCGACCAAGCTGCGGAGCAAGATGAGGGGGCCGATCTGCCAGCAGCGGGAGCGCCAGTATAAGGAGGACTTCTTCTGGGGGACTTCGAGGGCGACATCGTGTGATCGGGCGGCGTGGGTCCACAATCTGCACGCAGCCTTTGGCAAGGAGGTCGGCTTCGAGTGCGCGACGGCGTTGCTGGACCTGTCCAATGTCTACGAGAACGTGACGTGGTCGTCCCTCAGGTCGGCTGCCCAGGACTTCGGGTTCCCCCTGAGGCTGCTCAAGGCGCCCTGCGTGGTGTACAGCGGCGCCCGCCGCGTGCTCTATGGGGGGGCAGTCACCGCGACGATGATGGCCAACGGTGCGATCATCGCTGGCTGTTCGGCGGCTACCACATTGGCGAAGCTAGTATTGCTGCGACCTCTGCGCACTGCTCGCGCGGGACGCCTCGGCCTCCAGATCCGGAATGTCGTCGACGACGTGGTGCTGCAGGGCATTGGGGGCCGGAGCATGGTTGCAGCCAGCGTTGGGGGAGGGGTGGAGTCCCTCCTCAAGTCTTTCCAGGAGTTGCAGCTCCCGGTGAACATGGGCAAGAGCATGTTCCTGGCCAGCACGGCGGAGCTGGCCGATGAACTCCACCAGACGTGGAGCCTCCCGCCCACTGCACGGGTCGATGCGGCAAGGAGCCTCGGAGGCGACATCACCATGGGTTCCCTCCGCCGCGTCGCCACGACTCGCCTGAGGCAGACGGCAGCTCGCCAGCGAGGTCGACGATGCGCTCTTCTCGGGCAGGCGGGCGCCGATGTAGCCATGGTCCACCGGGTTGGGGCTACCTCGACGGGGTCGTGGGGCAGCGCAGTGATGGGGCTCACTGCCCAACAACTACACGGTCTGCGGGTGAGCGCAGCATGCAGCATGGGCCGGCTGCCGCGCGGAGCCAGTGTCGGCCTCCGCCTCCATTCGTACAGCGGCGGGGTCCGTCTCGACCCGATGGTTCTCCACACAGGTGACGTGCTCCGTCTGTGCTGCGAAACTGTGTGGGCTGGCAGCGTGAAGCCTCGCGTGCTAGAGGTCACGCTGGCGGCAGCTTGCAGGAAGAGCGCGGCATCCGGGAGCCCGTGGCGGATGGCCAGTTCCCCAGCCGATGTATTAGCACTCACTTTGGCACGCGTTGACTGGGACATGGAGGGCAGCACGCATCTCGCCACGGACACGGGGGAGCGCTACGACCTCCTGCGGACGCCCCCGCACCAGCTCCAGAAGCTCGTGGAGGCCGCGGCGGTGCGGGCGTCGGATCGTATAGCCCTCAGCCGTCTTGGGACTGATCTTGGGGCGGCAGGGGGAAGCAGGGACAGCGACTGCGACGAGCACCCTGGGGCTCCTCCAGTTTGTTGGAGTGGCCTCGGACCGCTCCTACGACGCACGAGCGCTGGATGGAGCCTCCAGCATCAGCGCGCCTTGCGCGCCGGCGTCAGCAACGCAGTCTGGTGCCAGGCGCGTCTGCTCAGACACGGACTTGTGCAAGATGGGCTGTGCAGGCTATGCGGCGGTGCCCTGGGTACGCTTTGGCACGGGTGCTACGACTGCCCGGCGCGCCAGGCGCTGCGACGCGACCGCATCGGGGCTCGCCATCGCCTTCGGGCCACCCAGGTGCGGGACTGGAGCTCGGAGGGAGCAGAGAGGTTCGCGCGTGGCGTGCTGCCCTCGCCTGCCTGCTTCTTCCCCCGCGTAGAGCCCGTCGAGCTGGTGGCGTGGGTGAACAAGCCGTCCGACGGCCTGCTGAGAGGCACCCTGTTCCTCGATGGGAGCGCCTTCCACATGGATATCCCGGAGTTGGCCCGCGCTGGATGGGCGATCGCACAAGTTGGCCGTTTTGGACGCGGTGGAAGCGGCTGCCTACGGGCCCGTCCCTTTCTGGGCTGGCCCGCGGCAGACCTCCCGGGACGGCGAAGACTTTGCCGTCCTTATGCTTTGTGACTTTGCTGCGCCTGGCGTGCTCGACTTCTACATCGACTGCGAGGGCACCGTGTCGACCATCCAGGCAGGGCCTGGGAGCGGCGCCAGCGCCCACGACCAGCGGCCGCACCTGCGGGGTCGCATCTGGGGGCACTTCGAGGCATCCGATCTGGAGGTGCACAAGACGCTCGGGCACGCCACGGCCGCTGACGTAGAGGCAGGGCGCTCCACCTGCTGGGGGCGGGCGGCGAACAACGCGGTAGACAAGCTGGCCAAAGATGGAGCTCACCTCCATTCTGGCGTGGGTGCGTTGGAGGAGGCCCTGTGGCGGGGCTTCGAGGAGCTCGTCCGTGAGAGTGCCCGGTGGTTCGGGGAGCTCCAGAGCGTGCTTGGAGAGCGTCAATGCCGGGACTACGACGACGTTCTGCATCGTTCTGACGCTGCTGCTGGCGCAGGCGCAGTGGCCCTGGGAGGGGCGCCCCAACCCGAGATCCGAGTGGAGAGCAGTTGTGCACAAGAGGCCCTATCACCGGACCAGTTCCTGCCCGGGAATGTGGATCGCGGGGGCGCTTGTGAGCTCGAACTGTCATGGGATCATTCTTGGAGTCGCTACTGCGGGGTAGCATGCAAGATAGGGGGACATTCGTTGCTGAGCGCCGGCATTCGGGAGAGACCCGGCCATTGTATAGCGTTTTGCTTCCTCTGTGGAGGTTATTTTTCCGGCGAGACGCCCAGCGCCAAGATGCGCGGCGGTTGCAAGGGCGCCCGAGCTGGAGCGAAGTATCGTGAGCAGCTTCGCCTGTTGACCGACGGCAGGTTCCCTCGACACCGCGCTGGTCAGCCTGCTTTGCACCTGTGCGCCCCAACGGGAATCCCACGGGGCGAAGAATTACGATTACGACCACTGTGGGAACAGCCCCCAGTGGTCCCAGAGGGCCGAGGGCAGGCAGCAAGGGAGCCTAAGATGGCCACCCCTTCCGTTGCCCCCCAGACGGCCGCGCAGCAGAAGCAGCTAGTGCTGAAATGCTTTGGCTTGCTTGATTGCGACCTCGATTGGGTGATCGAGGTAGGGGGCCGAGCAGCACGACGCAATGCCAGCCCCGACAGTGATTGGGCTTCGTGTGAGGACGAGGCCTCGGACTGCTCACTGTAGTAAGTCTGCTTTGGTTTCACCGTCCTAGTGACCACTAGCCATTCCATTCCATTCATGTCGAGGAATGAGCTGCAGGCTGCGCGCTCGGTGCTGCGGTGTGTCTGCGACGTGGTGGTGGAGCTCGATAGCGACTTCTGTCTGCAGGACGAGTCCCCCGAGCTCGTCAACATACTCTTGCTGAACTCGCAGCGATTCCTCTTGGGCGAGGACGTGAGGTTGTTCCTGGCGTCCGAGCAGGATCGCCAGAAGTTCACCGAGCAGATGGGCCAGTCCTGGGATCAGAGCGACGACGTGGTGGGGCTCAGCGCGGCCTTCCACGTTTCCATGAAAGACAGCTCCAGCATACCCCTCGTCGTCGAGGTGTTCTCCGTGCCCTTCGTGGACCGGGGTGCGCAAGCGGCGTATTTTGTCGGGATCCGAGAGTTTACGGACATCAGCCCGATACTCACCGTGGACAGTGCGGCGGAGGTGCGCCAGGGCAACTTTCATAGAGCTGCTGCCCCAGAGGCAGTTTCCTGGGCCCCACCCGCGCCAGCAGTGGACTCCACCCAGGATTCGTCGGACGTGAACTCCGACGCTCTCTCGTGGGACGTGGAGTTCCCGATCGAGGCTGAGGCCATCGGCTGGATCGACATCCTAACCTCAGGCTACACCGTGAGGTACGCCAGCCCCGCATTCGCTAAGCATCTGGAGGCCAACAGCGAGCTCCTGGCCGCGCTGAGGCCACGCGCACGAGCAGATTTTATACGCTGGGTCCAGCAGGCGTATTTCGATCTATTGGAGGAGGGATCCGATTCTGGTCACAAGCAATGCAGCGAGCGGCTCCACATGAAGTGCTCCGCCCCCGCGGCCACAAGCGGAGCGCGCCGGACGTGGCGATCGGTCTCGGCGTATGTGAGGCTCGACCTGACACCGCCCCGGGGCGGGCAGCCCCACGGCGAGGGTGTCGTGCGAATTGTGCTCCAGGACCTCCAGATCGGCACGCGAGCGCCCAGCACCTTGTCGAGGGGGACCCCGCCGGCCACGCCCAGAGCCAGCCTGCGCGCCCCCCAGGTCGCGCGCGGCCGACTGGAGGCCGAAGAGGCCGCGGCCGAGGGGCAGAGGCTTGCGGGGGCCATGGCGGGCGCGGCCGAGGGGCGGCGCGGCGGCGCTGCCGGCGCGGCCTCGCAGCCGCAGGGCCGCGCCGAGGCCGCGACTGCCGCCGCCGAGGTGCGGGGCGGCGACGCCGCCCTGCCAGCGGCACGGCCGAGGTGCGCGGCCTCGCTGTCGGCGGCGGCCGCGGCCGAGGCGGCGGCGACCGCGGCCGCGGCGCGGGCCGGAGCCGCCGCCGGCAGGGCGGCGTCGCCGCAGAGCACAGATCAATTGCAGAGCCTGTGAGGCGCAGGCGCGCCCCTGTGTCCGTCGTCGCCGGCCTGCTTGGATCTGAGCCCCCCGCCGGCCCCGAGAGCCGCGCGCCGAAGGCATCCCCTCGTTTTCCACTCTCCTCCATCCGGGGTGGGGGGGATATAATCGAGCACCGCTTCCCGCCCCGCCCGCCAATGCCCCCGACGCATTTGACAGCGTCATCCAGCGTGGGCCTCGAACAATAATTTCTCGCAGTCCACGCGGTGCAATACAGGTGGTGCGGTTAGTGTTTGCCATCCCATAAGTTGGAATGCCATTGCTCGCGCAATCATCCCAACCTCTCACCCGCCCGCAAGTCGTTTTGCAAAGTCCTGGCGGAGGCGGTTGCCCTGACTGCGCGGCCCTGGCTGGCGCAGCTCTGCGGCCGCGGTGGCGGGCGCACGCAAGCTCGCGCGCAGAGCGGCCAGCTGGTTTGGCAGCTCCCCAGCGCGTCTCAAAGGCCAGGCTGCCGCGCGGGCGCTTCAATGCAGGTCGGTGGCTCGGGCAGGCGCGGCAGTATGATGGTGCCGACATTTGCGGCAACGGTTAGGATAATAGAGACGGTGATGGCGATGCTGGTAACGCCGATGACCATGATGATGCCCCTGTGCCGATGTCAAAGTGTTTGAGTGATGATGGCGGCAATGTCGGCGATTGTCGATGACGATGTCGTGATGTGGCGGCGCGGATGATCACGATGTTGAGGATTTGCACGCGTCCGAAAAGCCAGGAACCTTGGCAAATGCTTCGGTAAAACATATGTTGTTTCGCATGTCCTCCTCCACTCTTTTGTGACGTGCTTCGGCGACCGATGGTTTAGGGATGGCATCGGCACGCGCGCGTGGCCACCCGCGCGTGTGGGCTACATGGCATTGATTGGCATGGTGTCGTGCGTTAGGCGCACACTGGGTCAACGCGGACGCACCGCGCGGTGAAATGAAAATGCGAGTTCGGGGCGAGATGGCTACAACTGATGGTTTGCCCATGAATTCAAACACTGTGCGCGGGTAGGCGATCTGCAAGATTTGTGTTGGAAAGTCAAGATGGTGTTCGAGATAGTTGTTGCTACAATGCCTGCAAAACTGGATTGTTCGGTTTGATTTCGTCGTGTGCGCACGTGCGGTCTCCTCGCAATCGTTTGCAAACGGTTCATCCAGAAATGTGTTTTGCGATATACGAGTGTTCGCGCAACGTATCGTGTGACAGGGGTGAAAGGGGGCAGCCAGCGTGTATCCAATAGTATTGGCTCATGTGAATAATGACCGATGAGGTAGAACCAGTACAAATGCTCCGTGATCCAAGGGGTGGGGGATGCAGGTTGTCATCCTTTTGGGAACAAGGGAGAATTAAGGTGACTTGATCTCGGTGGGGGGGCCATTAGATTTTGCCAGTTCATGAGTTGTTTGTTCCAGTACTTGCGCAATCATCCCACCCATGCAACCGCAATTCGTTGTGCGAAACCCATGCTTCCGCAATGGCCATTACTGCTTGGTTTTGGCTGGTTCATTTCTGCGGCCGCGCTGGCGCGCGCAATCTCGCGCGCAGAGCGGCCACCTCTTCTGACATAGCCGAAGCGGCCGCCATGGCGTGCACCGCTGGCAGCTCCCCAGTGCGTCTCACAGGCCGCGTTGGCGCGTGGGCGCTTCAGTGCGGGTCGGTGGTTCGGGCGGGAGCGGCATCGTCATGACGTCGACACCCACGGCACACGCGATGATAACTACGAAGGTGTTGGCGATGACGTTGGTGACGACGATAATGGCCATCCTGGCGACGAAGATTATGTCCATCCTTCGATGTCAGCGTGCTGCATTGATGGTGGCGGCGATGTCGGTGGTTGTCACGACGATGACGTGATGCGGCGGCGCTGATGAGTGCGCTGGTGAAGAAGCACACGGGCGCGGAGATCCGAAACCCTGACAGCCTCCAGGCTTTTCATGTCGTGTGTGTTTTTGGACGCCGTGCGTGTCGGAAGAGTTCTACTTTGAAACGTTTTGAAAACCGACGGTCGTGAACAGGATATCGGCGCGCGCGCGCGTGGCGACCCGCTCGCGAGGCCCACGGGGCACTGTACGGTGCGAGTTCGGGCATTGGGCGCACGCTGGATTCACGCGCTTGCACCGCGTGGTGAGATGAGACAGCGGGTTCCGGACGAAATTGCTACACGCGTACGTTTTGCCCATGGCTTCAGCAAGTGCGAGCGGGCAGAGTATTGAGAATACTTGTGATGGACATGCGTAATTGGTGTGTTTTGGTGTTTCTACGTTGGCATCTTTGTAAGTCTATGATGTTTGGTCTGATTTCGACATGCGCGCGCGTGTGGACTTTCTTTGTGTTTCCGGCGGCCGTCTGGCCTTGCCAGTTTTCGCGGCTCTCCAGTTTGCGTTTCTTTGCGGTTCGTCGCCGTTTCTGCTGATTGGTCGTCTTCGGCCTCCCTGTTTTCCTATGCCTCCCCGTTCCTCCCGCCTTCTGTCTTGTCGTCTCGCCGTTGTTCTGCCATCCAGGTCGTTTTTTTGTCTTCTCGTCGCTCATCTTGCTCACTCGCTCACTCGCCTCCTCCGCGTTCAGTCATGGTTGGTTTATGGCACCGTCCGCTCCACAAACGTTCCGTCCTTTCACCGCCCCATTTGCCATCCATGCCCCGATGGCCTATGCCTGCTGGCGGCTGCGGGATTCTGAGTGGTCTTTGAGTACCCGGGCGGGTTTCGACGCGCGCGCGGTATACCCCTGCATTTCGACCTTCTACACTTTGTCGCTGCGCGCAGTGCCGCGGCGCCAAAACATGCGCGTGTGTTCTTACATTTTCGCATCTCAAACATGATAAGTGTATATGTATATATACACACATATATATAGAGATATGTCAGTATATATGGTCCAGGGCTTGCCCCCCCCCCCCCCTTCCCCAATGCTGATGCCACTGGCCCCCCCCCCCGCGCGATGGTCCCCCCCGACCCCCTTGTGGGCGTGGCGTGGTGCTGCGCTGCGGTGCCCCCCCCCCCTCTGGATGTGGTGTGGTGCTGTGGTGGTTCAGAAGTGGGCGTGGCGTGGTGCTGCGCTGCGGCGCCCCCCTCCCCCGCCCTGTGGATGTGGTGTGGTGCTGTGGTGGTTCAGAGGTCGTCGTCGTCGTCGTCGTCGTCGTCCTCGTCGTCGTCGTCGTCATCGTCGTCGTCGTCGTCATCGTCGTCGCCGTCGTCATCGTCGTCATCGTCGTCGTCGCCGCCGCCGCCGGCCTCGTCGCCGTCGCAGCCGTCGTCGTCGTCGTCGTGGTCGTCGTCGTCGTCGTCGCCGTCGTCGTAGTCGCCGCCGTCGTCGTCGTCGTCGCCGTCGTCGTCGTCGTCGTCGTCGTCGTCGTCGTCGTCGTCGTCGTCGTCTCTGGGACCATACCATCTGGGGGGGGGGGCGGAGCCCGAGGAATCCTGGGACCATACCATCTGGGGGGGGGGGGCCGTGAACCCTCGACCTTCATCATACATACAGAAAGGTGTGTGCGCGTGGGACGGTCGTCTTCCCACTTTCTACGCCCTGTCGCTGTGAGAAGGGCCGCGTTGCCATACAAAGCAATGTGTGTATGTGTGTGTGTGTGTGTGCGGGCGCGTTCTTGTGCAAAAGAACATTGAAAACTATCGTTTGCGATAAGCGATTGCGATTGCATGCTCAGAGTGGGGGGGCGAGCGGTCATTCATCGACCCGTGGCGCGTGGCTGAAGTGGGCTCCGCGTTGTCGATTGTTGTTGCGTTGTTTTTGGTGTTGTTGGTGGTGTTGCTGTTGATGTTGATGTTGTCGTTGATGCTGGTGTTGTTGTTGGTGTTGTTGTTGGTGTTGGTGTTGTTGTTGTTGTTGTTGAACATTATTAATTCTAAAGAATAATTATTGTTGGGACCCCTGGTGCGCGCCCCCCCCGCCGCGCCTAGGCCGCAGCCACATTTTCATCATTTTCGTGAGGAAGTCTCAGGCAAAACGGGGTATACCAGATCCGGTTGTGTTGTTACGATCGGTTTTCCCTTGCAAAAAATAAGGCACAGTGGACATTTCTTGTTCTAACATGACCAAACTTCAAGAATCCCCTGCAAAAAATGACACGAAGTGCACATTCGCGCGCGCAAGACGAAATCCTTCCAAAACCTTAGTCTTCGTAGCGATTTTCACATAAAAACATGAAAAAAACCCAATGGTTTTTTCAAAAAAAGGTGTCAAAATTTCATCCCGCGCGCTCTTGCGGATTTGTCGGAAACCCAATACTTTTTCAACATTTCTGTCAAACGGGCTCTTGCGAGCAACTGTTTCACGTGCTTCGAACTTCTGCAACAAAGGTTGCGCGCCTGCCACGGCCATCATCCCTGTCAAATAATACCATGTGGGACACATTCGTTTTTTCTTCGCGCGCGCACGCCGAAATCTTCAAAAATCGTTGGGTTCCTTAGGAATTTTAGCACCGCGCAACATAAAATCATACGAATCGCACCGTAGGTCCTCGAAAAACATCTGTACGAATTTTCAAAATTTCTACCCGCGCGCGCTGTCCGAATCCTAAAAAACCAATGGTTTTTCAACATTTATGTTATAGAGCTCGCGCGAGCTGTTTTCGCAAGCTCTTTCAACGGCGTTCGCGCGCCTGCCAGGGGCCACAATCCCTTGCAAAACATACCATGCGGGACACATGCGCGCGTGTCGCGTCGTCGTCGTCGTCGTCGTCGTCGGCATGTTACCACAACAGCAATAGGGGGAAAAGTCGTATACTAAGCTAGCGTCCAGAAAATGTTACCACAACAAGTCACTGTACCCATGCGCCAGTGTAGTAGCCACGGTCGTCCGCAGGCCACGAAGTGAAGTGTCCGAACGTCATAGGGCGGGAAGCTGGGTGTGGGTGGTGGCGAAGAGTCGTTTGGAAATGTGGTAGAGCTTGAACCGGCCCCCCCACAAAGTGGGGGTATTGCCCGCCTCCTATGAAAACCCTGGCACTGGTGAGAACGGAGTGTCCCCACGTGCTAGTAATTGTTGTTGTTGTTGTTGTTGTTGTTGTTGTTGTTGTCGTTGTCGTTGTCGTTGTCGTTGTCGTTGTTGATATTGTTGTTCTTATTGTTGTTGTTGCTATTGTTGTTGTTGTTGTTGCTGCTGTTGTTGTTGTTGGTGTTGTTGTTGCTGTTGTCCGTGTTGTTGTTTTTGATATTGTTATTGCTATTGCTCTTACTTCTGGTGCTGTCGCGTTCCGGTTTTTTGGGGTTCCGCCAAAGCTGGCCCCACAACAAAAACAACGCTCCTGCTCAATATTTCTTCCTTTCTCACTCGGGGCCGGGGCCCTTGCTCGCCCCCCAAAGCCGCCTTTCAAACAACATTTGCGCTCCTGCTCTGCACGTCTCTGTTTTCCACCCAGGACCCGCGCTCCCGCCCCAGGACCCGTGCAAACAACGACGCTCCCGCTCGATGCGTCTTCCACTTTGTTCAAGGCTCCCAGGAGGCCCTGAGGCTTCCCCTGTCCCTGTTGAACCTTAGTTGTTTGAGCATTTGTTTTATTGTTGGACACCCTGACTGCGCTTTCACGCTCTCGCGCCTGCTCCGCGCGACCTCGCTTTCGCTCGAGTCCTGGGGCGTGGCGTCGCCACCGTTGTCGCCGCCGCCGCTGCCGCCGCCGCCGCGGCCTGCTCCGCTACATGATCCGCGTCCCCAAGGATGACCAGGAGGGGGTTGAGGACTACATGAAGAAAACTCACCGTCGTATCCGAGGGGCCCTGGAGAAAAGTGGCTCGACCCCGTGGGACCACCATGTTCTTCTTCTGAACTATTCTTGGGCTGGACATATCATGCGTATGGAACATTATGATAAACAGCGCTATGTTTTCAAGGCTTGTCAATATAAGAACTATGAATACCTGTGCCACCTGAAAGAGCTGATCGGTTCCCAGGGCCACCAACGAAACTTCCATGTGTGGAGATGGGAAAAGCAGTTTTACCAGTATTTCGACACCCCGCTGTGGAAACACCACACCCAGAACCTCGAGGAGTGGCAGGCGTCATCATTGGCCTGGCTGGACTGGCGCCTCAAGGACATGGGATGCTCAAAAGAGAAGCGTAGGAGGGGTGGTTGGGGAGACAGTTGGGTGTACTTACAGATGGCCGAACTCGCCAGGCTTCAGGCGTCTTTACCCTAATCTTCTTCTCTCAGTCTGCTGTTTTGCGCCCGTCTCAACCCACCTTACATTATGTAGCGTCTCTGTTTGTCGGCTAGGGCCCTGGTGCTACCGTTCCGAATGCCGAGAGTAGTAGTAGTTGCCGTCGCTAAACTATGATTTCTATTGCTGGACACCCTGAATGCGCTCTCGCGCCTGCTCCGCGCGACCTCGCTCTCGCTCGTGTCCTGGGGCGTGGCGTCGTCGCCGCCGCCGTCGCTGTCGTCGTCATCGTCGTGATCTGGAGGATGTCGGGTGCGTCTTGGAACTCCCAGAGACCCTATGGCCAGAAATATGTTTTGGGAGAGAGTGCAGACAGGAGGAGGAGGACGACGACGACGACGACGACGACGACGACGACGGCGGCGGCGGCGGAGGCGGCGGCGGCGGCGGCGACGACGACGACGACGATCACGAGCCCCGGCGCCATCGGAAAGCGACCGGCGCACAAGCTGCCCCAGGGAAGGGGTCAGAACTTCAGGGGTTTGGTAAAGCTCTAGAGCTTTTCATTGGCTTTGGGGGCTCTCCCTAGTGTTCACCCAAGGACTGCGAGGCCGCTCTGCCTGACGTCTTGGGCCACTCAGGTGTCGTGATACCTCGCAGCAAGGCCTGGGCATTTTGGGCTGGAGAGGATGAGGTGCGTTGGGGAAGGTGTTGTCAGGACCTCTTCGGGCGGGAGATCAAGGAGAGGGACCATCGGACCCCCGCGCGCAAGAAACAAATCCCCAATTTGGGGGGGAGCTATCACGATGGATGCATACCGCATGCAGAAGCATTGGGCATTCGGGTAACATGATTGTTGTTGTTGTTGTTGTTGTTGAACATTATTACTTCTAAAGAATAATTATTGTTGGGACCCCTGGTGCACGGCCCCCCCGCCGCGCCTAGGCCGCAGCCACATGTTCATCATTTTCGTGAGGAAGTCTCAGGCAAAACGATGTGATCCAGATCCGGTTGTTTTGTTACGGCCCGCTTTCCCTTGCAAAAAATAAGTTAAAGTTGACATTTCCTGTTCTAGCATAACCAAACTTCAAGAATCCCTTGCAAAAAAAAATAAGGTAAAGTGGACATTCGCGCGCGCAAGACGAAATCCTTTCAAAACCTTAGTTTTCGTAGCGATTTTAACATAAAAACATCAAAAAATGTTTTTTTAAATGTCAAAATTTCATCCCGCGCGCTCTTGCGGATTCGTAGGAAACCCAACACTTTTTAACCATTTCTGTCAAACGGGCTTTTGCGAGCAACTTTTTCGAACTTCTGCAACAACGGTTGCGCACCTGCCAGGGCCATCATCCCTGTCAAAGAATACCATGCGGGACACATTCGTTTTTTCTTCGCGCGCGCACGCCGTCGTCGTCGGCCGCGGGGCCCTGAATAGTAGCCACGGTCGTCCGCATGCCACGAAGTGAAGTGTCCGAACGTCATAGGGCGGGAAGCTGGGTGTGGGTGGTGGCGAAGAGTCGTTTGGAAATTCGGTAGAGCTTGAACCGGCCCCCCCACAAAGTGGGGGTATTGCCCGCCTCCTATGAAAACCCTGGCACTGGTGAGAACGGAGCGCCCCCACGTGCTAGTAATTGTTGTTGTTGTTGTTGAATGTTTGTTTCTGAGGACTTATTATTGTTGACCTCCCCCCGTGAACACAGTACTTTTAAATCGAAGTGTCTTTCCTGGGGCCCTTCCGTTTTTTATCCGGGAAAGCATCGAGCGTCAAATTGCGCCCCCGGCCCACGACCAACAATAACAACGGCTCCCGCTTGATACTACCTCCGAATCTATTGAGACATCAGGCTCTCGCTCGGGACGTCATCCTAATTCCCAACCGTCCTGTGGTGTTGGGCCCTCGTTTTGAAGAGACGGTGCCCCGCGTCTCCTCCTCCCGCTGCACCCTCCCTCCTCCTTCCTTCCCCTCCTTGCCTTTGCTCTCGGTACACCCCTCACACGTTTCGTAGCCCCATAGGGAGCTCCACCGAAGGCCCCAGTGGTTGCTCTCGCATCCATAGGGAGTTCCACCGGGGGCCACAGTGGCTGCTCTCGCATGCGGTTCCCCCCCCCACCCAGGGCAGCGTTTCGTGGCCCCGTAGGGAGCTCCACCGAAGGCCCCAGTGGCTGCTTTCGCATGCGGTTCCCCCACCCAGGGCAGCGCTTCGCGGCCCCATAGGGAGCTCCACCGAAGGCCCCAGTGGCTGCTCTCGCATGCGGCCCCCCCGCCCAGGGCAGCGCTTCGTGGCCCCATAGGGAGCTCCACCGAAGGCTCCCGTGGCGCAGTTGTCGTGCGGTTCCCCCACCCAGGGCAGCGCTTCGTGGCCTCATAGGGAGCTCCACCGAAGGCCCCAGTGGCGCAGTTTGCATTCGGTTCCCCAGCCCAGGGCAGCGCTTCGTGGCCCCATAGGGAGTTCCACCGAAGGCCCGCCCCACCGGCGCAGTTCGCATGCGACTCCACCACTCAGGCAGCGCTTCGTGGCCCCATAGGGAGCCCCACCGAAAGCGGCACCCACAACGAATTACGAACAATTGCTTATGGTTGGGTCCTTCGCCAGGATTATTTATTGAGGAATCGCGCTTTCGCATAGGATTTCTGCGCCATTTATTCGGACGCCGCGCCTTCGACGTTCAAGAATCACGCACTCGTTTTGGATGGCCCCACGATTTATTTGGAAATCGCGCTATCGCTCGAGACTTCCTCGCGATGCATGCAGGACGCACGCTTCATCATCCCGCCTGCTCGACCTGGCCGCCTGGGACCGCTTTCCCGACCCGCCCATTCGGGTCTACCCGCCAGATCTGCCCGCTTGGTTTTGCCACGTGTTTTCTGTCCTCGCCCCCCCTCCTGCTAGTGTCTCTCTCGTGTTCCATCCTCCTCCCCCCTTGCCCCTTCCATCCGTCCTCTCTTAGAGGCTGCACGAAGTACACGTTGCAGGTAAGAAAGATACATCTCCCAAAGAGGGTACGTTAGAAGACGGATATGGCGGGTATCGGGGGATGGGATATTCGTGTTGACTGGCCCGCGATCAGATAAGAGCGGTCAGCTTTAAATGGCTTGGTGTTGATGTTGTCATTTGCTTGGTTAACGTGGTGCTGGTGTCGCGGTTGTTGTTGTTGTTGTTGAATACTATTACTTCTAAAGAATAATTATTGTTGGGGCCCCTGGTGCACGCCCCCCTCGCCGCGCCTAGGCCGCAGCCACATTTTCATCACTTTCGTGAGGAAGTCTCAGGCAAAACGTGGGTGTCCGGATCCGGTTGTTTTGTTGTCCCCCGTTTTCCCTTGCAAAAAATAAGCTAAAGTGGACATTTCTTGTTCTAACATAACCAAACTTCAAGGATCCCTTGCAAAAAAAAGATAAAGTGGACATTCGCGCGCGCAAGACGAAATCCTTCCAAAACCTTAGTGTTCGTAACGAGTTTAATATAAAACCTTCAAAAACCAATGGTTTTTCCCAAAAAAGTGTCAAAATTTCATCCCGCGCGCTCTTGCGGATTTGTAGGAAACCCAACACGTTTTAAACATTTCTGTCAAATGGGCTTTTGCGAGCCACTTTTTCGAACTTCTGCAACAACGGTTGCGCACCTGCCAGGGCCATCATCCCTGTCAAAGAATACCATGCGGGACACATTCGTTTTTTCTTCGCGCGCGCACGCCGTCGTCGTCGGCCGCGGGGCCCTGAATAGTAGCCACGGTCGTCCGCATGCCACGAAGTGAAGTGTCCGAACGTCATAGGGCGGGAAGCTGGGTGTGGGTGGTGGCGAAGAGTCGTTTGGAAATTTGGTAGAGCTTGAACCGGCCCCCCCACAAAGTGGGGGTATTGCCCGCCTCCTATGAAAACCCTGGCACTGGTGAGAACGGAGTGTCCCCACGTGCTAGTAATTGTTGTTGTTGTTGTTGCTGCTGTTGTTGTTGTTGTTGTTGTTGTTGAACCTCATTTCTTTTTAAGAATAATTATTGTTGGGACCCCTGGTGCGCGGCCCCCCCGCCGCGCCTAGGCCGCAGCCACGTTTTCATCATTTTCGCGAGGAAGCCTCAGGCAAAACGATGTGTACCAGATCCGGTTGTGTTGTTACGATCGGTTTTCCCTTGCAAAAATAAGCTAAAGTGGACATTTCTTGTTCGAACATATCCAAACTTCAAGAATCCCTTGCAAAAAATAGGTCAAGTGGACATTCGCGCGCGCAAGACGAAATCCTTCCAACACCTTAGTTTTCGTAGCGATTTTAACATAAAAACATCAAAAAAAAAAAAAAAAAAAAAAAAAAAAAAAAAAAAAAAAAAAAACAATTGTTTTTCAAAAAAAATGTCAAAATTTCATCCCGCGCGCTCTTGCGGATTCGTAGGAAACCCAACACTTTTTAAACATTTCTGTCAAACGGGCTTTTGCGAGCAACTTTTTCGAACTTCTGCAACAACGGTTGCGCACCTGCCAGGGCCATCATCCCTGTCAAATAATACCATGCGGGACACATTCGTTTTTTCTTCGCGCGCGCACGCCGTCGTCGTCGGCCGCGGGGCCCTGAATAGTAGCCACGGTCGTCCGCATGCCACGAAGTGAAGTGTCCGAACGTCATAGGGCGGGAAGCTGGGTGTGGGTGGTGGCGAAGAGTCGTTTGGAAATTTGGTAGAGCTTGAACCGGCCCCCCCACAAAGTGGGGGCATTGCCCGCCTCCTATGAAAACCCTGGCACTGGTGAGAACGGAGTGTCCCCACGTGCTAGTAATTGTTGTTGTTGTTGTTGTTGTTGTTGTTGTTGAGTTTTTAGTCTGCGAACTCACAAGTATTGTTTATCCCCCCCGCGGACCATTGTTTGTTTTCAATGTCGGTGCACCTCCCGTGTTTCGCAACCTTTTTTATCAGGGCCGGGTTGTCGTCACCAAGCTGCGTCCATGGCCCCTAGTTTACAACAGCACCAACAGCG